GCTTTGACCAAGCGTGCGTGCTGTGGAGCTCCTGGACTTGGAACCCTCAACTTCAACCCGCTCGTTACTTGTGGTAGTCCAGGGTCCAACAAATGTGCAAACCCGGACGAGTATGTGAATTGGGACGGTGTACATTTTACCGAAGCGTTTTACAGGCAAATCGCCTTATGGACTCCCGCTGGAAAATTTACTAATCACCCGGTCAACTACACCTCTTTGTGTAAATTAGATTTCCGGAGCTTTGCAAAGTCTTCCACATACAACTCTGTGTTTCCTCACAGTTTCAGGGTAGCACTCACCTAATTAACCATCCTGAATTAATGATTTTAAGTTGGAAAACAAGATTTCAGAATAGTTTATGAGGGAGTACTAGGCCCTTCAAGAACGCTACTTGAGCTCAAGCACAGTACATCGTTCTGAGTATTCCATGAATTTTTGAATCATGTCTAATAAAGTGACATAATTTGAGATCTTCTTCGACGTTCTACGTACGCAATGATGTGTTTGGATCTCTTGTATGCGAAGATGCAATTTACTCATCAGTATGTCACTAGATACTGTATTTGATATCACACAAGGTGAAGTACACAGTTTTTGATAAGAAGTAAGTTGATATTTTTCAGATTTTACTTAATGAGAACATGTACAGTTTACTTGCAATTTCTATCTTTATATATGATTATAGTCTATCATATATTGGATTACAGTTTGATTCTAAATAGCTCAAATTAACAAAACACGTGTGTGAAGGTTTCTTTCAGACCTTGTTGCAAAAAAATCATATTAGTTAGAAAAGTTAAAACTTTTAGCTATAAATCAAGAAACGATTGTTAGTGTGAACTCATTTAGATACAATTGACGGTACACGTCAAATATTTGATATTAGCATTTTGTACCTCAACATAGCAATTGTTCTGTTTTTCAGTGCTTGGATACAGATTCATTAAATTTTTTTTTAATACTCTTCAAAAATTTGATTGTTAAACATTTTGATATATAAAAAGATTTTTTATTGTTAAAGTTATCATGTATATTTTTATTAAAACCTGATTGAATAGAATTTTTTACTTCTTGCTTAATTCAATATACATTTTCTATAATATTATTGAGTTCTGGGTTTTCATTCCAATTTATAACCCTAGGCATTAAGAAAGTAATTCATTTGAAAATGGAATAAAAAATTTTAAGACCATACATAGTGAAAATGGTTTTACTTTTTCTACATACAACCCAACTAAACACAAAATACAATGATATAAGATTTTAAGAGCGTCATTCATATTTTTCCTAGTGAATTGATTACATGACATATATATATTTAACAATCATAGTAGGTATTCTTGACGTCTAGCTAACTATTAAATTTATTTCTCTTAACTTTACATACAAATTGTTAATATAAAACTGTAGATAGTCCATTATAGATCAATTCTATCTTCATCTTGAGTAGAATCATTCTAATTTCAATCAAAATCAAAAGTCAAGTTTAACTAGAATTGTTTAGATATCGTAAGATGTCAAAGTTGATATCAGTATTTTCATGCACTTCAACAATCTAAAGTGAAAAAAGTTTAGTGGATTATTTTTTAAGAAATATCATAAAATGACAATGCTAATAACACACATACAAGTTATTGCAAAATTTTAATGATTCAATTATTCAAAAATTCTTATTTTTCCAATGATATTCCTATTGAATCCTAATGATGCTTTTTTTCTAATGAACTTTTCTAAATTTTTAGATGATATTATAAAAAAAATTAGCATTTTTTTTCCTGTATAGAGCTTATGTTATTGTAGTTCAAATTTTCTTTTGTGTGATCTTGAAATTGTTTAGATGATTATAACTAAACATAATTATTTTGAACCGTATCAAACCAATTCATGCTAACGTTCTACATCCTACATCCTGAAATATTTTGGAAAAAAAAATTAAAGAACATTCGATTGAATTATTGCGATTAAGTTATTAAATAATAATCTAAAAAATCAATCATTTTTCATGATTATGAAAATCAGGAACAAAACAGCGTTAAATATGAAGTTAAATCTGAAACTTTTTCAATTGATGATATGTTAAAAAATGTATATACATTTACATAAAATCAATTTACCTTGTTTGTTTGTTTTATTGAATAGGGATACATTGAATATATATAAACAGAATATATCTAAGTTGTCAATTATCACTTTTTGATTAAGATTATCAATATATGATTGGAAAGATACTAAAGATACTGAAATTAATCAAATTGATATTTTTGAAGTCATTTTTTATGGTTGAATATTGTATATAATGCAATGTCCAAGTATAATTTTTAACTAAATTGTGATTATGTTTGACTTATTGACATCACATTAGAAATAATAAAAATAAGATATTAATATAAAATATAAATTTCCAAGATTATTAATTCATCAGTTCTAAGATTTGTTTATAAATATCAATTAATGTTGAAATTATAATACAATTTTTATAAAAAAATTGAAAATCTCAAAAAGTTAATCTAAATTATAAAGTGAATGAAAATTTCCATCTTTATTGATCAATTAAATAAATTTAATTGTCAAATGAAAAAAAATCAAATTCAGATATACAACAATGAGTAAACTTGTAAGAAAAAATATTTAGAAGAAAACTGAACTACACAATGAGTGAAAATTCAGAATTTAGAATGAATTAGTGCCGGAGTCTTTTTCCATTCACATCAGTACCAACAATGGAGCACAAAAAAGTCATTGGTTGGTAATAACAATTGTGCTACAACTTCCATCTAAATTGCAGTGTAAGTCTGTGTGTACTGTGAGACATAATATCTTGCAATTTCTCATTTTCGAAATCGACCTCTCTCAGACCTCTGGTTTCTTCGAGATCGGACATCCTCTCTACATGGTTCCTTTGTGATTCTTGTGAGTGACTTCTTGTAGTCCTCGATGCGCGTTTCGTTCTCGACATGTAAAAGCGATGAAGTTAAGATGTGTTGCGATGTGTTGTTACCCGTGGAGGAGATCGGACGATCTTCTCAGTTAGTTACTCTCGCTGTTCAAAATTTTTGATTTTCGCCGACAGGCTACTTCTTGCAGCTTTGCACCCGCTTCAAGCCTCCAGCACGTGATCAATCAAACGCGGTGCCATAGATTAATCCTCCCCTTATTTCGTCTTCAATTGATCCGATTACCAGGCTTGTCGTCAATTGGGCACAAATACTTGCTCCCCGCGATCCCTTCTCTTAATTTAAGCCCTTGCTTTTACGAGTTGGAAATTAATTATCTACTATAATCTCCATTCTTCTCAATACCTCATTTTTGGAACCTACTCAAAGTCCTATGACAACTTGAATGAAGGAGATGAAAGTGATCTTCGCCGATAACACTAAACTACTGCAAGCTTCATCTGTATTGTATCGATGTGATGAGTTCATCGTTACTTCGCATTGGAGCTTAACATCCGGTATATGCTCCCATAGACCGCGATGACGGTAAGTTGTGGTTTCAGATCACAACGTACCGTTCGAAAACTAAATTAGTGACGGAAGCCATCACAACTGACAGAAAACTGCCTAGAACCTTGTGGGGAAAATCGACTGATGAATTTTTGGCAGTGCTCAAAATCGACAGTCCTGGAAGACCTCCTCCATTGTTAGCATGATATACCAGATCGACTTCTTTCCTGTACATGCCTGAAAGAATCTCGGGATCCAAAATTCAAAGACCACTGCCAATCCTAGTCATTCCTTCACACCTTCTCCCGAATCAAGCGATTGAAGGTAGACAATAACAGAGCGGATGAAAGTACATGAACGACTTCTAAGATCATCGATTGAAAAACTTGAATTTCTCATTTTTTTATGTTTGAAAGTCATCTGACCAGCTCATAATTCATAGCAATTGTATGTCTGTATGTGACATTGTTCTATCTTTATGTATGAGATTTCCAATGATGTGTTATTTATTGATTTTTATTGTTTGGTCCATGATACTACATGTTTGAAGTGAAGGTTTATGTTTCCACAAGGACGTAGGCATTATTGAGCAAAGATCAGCACGGTTCATAACAAGTTCACAACATGAAACTTTTCAATGGGATCTTTACTTGATCACAACTATGCATGAAAAACATGGGTGAAGATGAAAACATATGCCAAGAGTGTAAGTCGGCTTGTAAGACTCCGACGAATGCTGTCACACCTTTGGTTCTTCAGCTCAACCAAATGATGGCACAGGGAGGTTGGCAGCAATTAACTTATCCTTGTTTTATTAGAGCGTGTTTTGTCTTAGGCTGTGGAAGTGCTCGCATTTTCTTATTGGAAAGACTTTGATTTGAACTTATTTGTGTCCTTTTGAACTGCTTGGGTTTGAATTGCTGTGCTCGGTGCTGCATATGCATGTGCTAGACTGCTGCAGCACTAGAACCAGGCCCTGTTCTTTGAATCAAGAGCCAGACCAGACCCACGGGGAGCTACGAGCCCGGCCGGTCAGCCGGTGGAGTGTCAGTCAAAGGAAGACAATTCTCCCGTCTACCCTCTGCTCTACAAATTCGGTACTTCAGGACCTATGCGTGTTGCGAATTAGTAAACATTTGAGAGAGTTTGACTAATGATACAACAGTCACGACGCTCTTCTCAGCATAGATTTTCAAAAACTACAAGCCATGATACCTCAGATCGAAAACCTCAGAGAATGAAATTCGCGAGTCTAGTAGAGACTCGCGAAGCTCAAAGTCAAGGGTCAAAGTTCAAAGTCAACGAAAGAGGACAGCCATCTTGCAAGCCTTTTGCTGTTACGAAATGCGACCTTCTTCTCTAATCAATGGATCTAATCAGAGGTATTGGGGATCTCGACCGAATCGTCTCTACGCTGACAGTCTGTATTCCTGCTGAGCTTATGAAATTCGGGTCTTCATGACGTAGCCATTCATGCCTATAATCTTAGACCGGTCCAAAATTCAAAAGGCTCGCGGGTGCGTGTTATTTCAGTCAATGAACAAATCCAAATGGTAAAAGACTCATGAACTCTTTGTTGATATATCATCCACTTGCTTGAGGAATAGCAAATGGGCTCTGGGAGCAACATCTATTAATGCTTGAATCCCATCAGTCCAACTTCCAATCTAACAGTAACCCGGATGGCATCGGGTCATTTCATTGTACTTTTAGCATGTTTTATTGTTGGATTTTCTGCAACGATTTCTATCAGAAAGCACTGGCCGTCAGAAGCTTCTAGCTCTCTAGAGTTCGAAAGAAATTTCATCCCATGTATCTAATTTACCCTCGTTGTTTTAGCTAATTTAGCATGGACCAATGTAATCAGCTAATTTGTTCTACCGTTCTATGTTTTTTTCAATAAATACATCTAAAATTAAATTACTAGACCTTAAGGAGAGTCATGTAGACCCTTCACCATTAATTGCTACACATCTCATCACCTTTGTTGCAATATTATCAGCACTATCTTGAAAAAGCGACCACTGCTCTTAAATTTATGTTGTTGCTGAGATCCAACGTCACCAAGGTGTGACAAGAGAGGAGGATCCAAGGAAACGTTCCAGTAAATGAGTTCCCATTTGCAAGGAACCATGATAATTCAGACCTGACATGTACCACGTTTGCGGTAAAAAGTTGCCATCCCTTAGAGCCAAGGTTCAGTACCTGCAGGCTTGTCAGATTTCCCAGTTCTTCAGGAATGCTTCCGTAGAGCAGATTGTCTTCCAGGTTCAGGAATCGTTATCTCGAGAGCCGTCGAGTTTTGGTCCAGATGGAGCTCTTCGAGGTCCGGAAGATTGCACAACGAGGGGCCCAACGAGCCAGTCAAATAAAGCAAAGAAAACTGGAGAGCAGTAACATGCAGCTGACTCTGATCGCTTGCCTTGAGTCCAATCATCCAAGGCACCTCCGAATAGTTCACGATCCCGTCCTTGAATGCAAGAAGGGCATCAGGTTCCCTGAACAAGGAACTTTAGAGCATTACTAAATCTGAAGCAGAATTGATATTATGTAATACGAGGTTTCATCTGCTCATTCTGGTAAGTTTGGACACAATCTACAATATATCAATCATAAAATGGAGCAAGCTTCTTTCACTTACCCAAAGCTAACTTCCAGCAACGAGACTGCGTGTGAAAACCCATTGGACCTGGAGTCGATTTCAAGGTCATGATCTTGAAAAAATCACTCTCGAATGTGATGGAACTTTGACGCATGCAACTGTAATCCTCGACTTTCTAGGTGACCTAGGCCCGTATTCTTCAACTCTGCTGCACGAAGACGCTCATAAGAAAAATGATGGCCATGACGATTAGATGGGATAAAATTTCTATCGGACTAGACGGATGTTGGCTGATACGAACTAGAAACTTCTGACGGCCAGTTCTCTCGGATGGAAAGCGTGGCAGAGGAGCCAAAGAGAAAACGTGCTAAAAGTACAATGAAATGATCCGGTGCCATCCCGGCCAGGATGGCACCGGATGCCAGGATCGAAGTTATAGTGGGATTCGAGGTTGGGCTGATGGGATTCAAGTCTGGCATTTATAGATGTTGCACCCACAGCCTAGCATTTGGATGATATGTCAACAAAGAGTTAATGAGCCTTTTACCATTTGGATGTGTTCATTGACTAAAATAACATGCACCTGCGAGCCTTTTGACTTTTGGTCCGGTCTAAGACTATAAGCATGAATGGAAATGTAATGAAGACCCAGCAAATGGAATAGACTGCCAGCACAGAGACGTTTCGGTCGGGATCCACAATAACTCTGGTTTGATCCATTGATTAGAGAAGAAGCTTGGGAGATGGCTGTCCTCTTTCGTTGACTCTGAACTTCCTTCAGACTTTGACCCTTGACTTTGAACTTCCCGAGTCTCTACCGGACTCGGGAAGTTCATCCTCGGAGCTATTCAATCTGAGGTATAGTGGCTTGCAAGTTTTGAAAAATTGTGCCAAGAAAAGCGTCGTGTCTATTGACTATATCATTTCAATAAAATCACTGTTAAAAGTTTACCCTTCCGCAACACGCACAGGGACTGAAGTACCAAATTTGTAGAGCAGCGGGTAGACGGGAGAGTGAATTGTCTTCCTTTGAATGACACTACACCGACCGGCTGGGCTCGTAGCTCCCCATGGGTCTGGTTTTGGTTTGGCTACCAAAACCCTACCCAGACATTATTATTGAGGACTATGTCTCTCCGTAGTACCTGCTCTGCAAGTACTGCCTCCTACCTTCCTAAGTTTGAGGGGTGGGCGGATATAAAAAATGGCAAAGCAGAAGAGCTTTAATCTTCAAGCACAGTTGGAATTCAGGAATGGAAAGCTTCACATGTGGAATTTCATTTTACGATATTGATCTTGAAGCAATAATCCCATCTAGAAGAGGATCACTATACCCAGAACCGAGTTCCAGATTTCTTGTTTATCTATTTTACTGTTGGAAGACTCTTCTCCTTCTATTCATCATTATATACAAAAAATATTATCTGTATCCAACTGCAGAGTACACTATTGAAGATGACATATATGGTATCTCCCATTTGCAAGCAAACTTTTGCTTCCACAGTCTTTTCTCGTTTTTATGTTTGAAAGTCATCTCACCAGATCATAATTCATATCATAATTCATAGCAAATGTATGTCTGTAAGTGACATTCTTCTACTTTATATATTGAATTTCCAATCAAGTGGTCGTGATTACTTCTTTCGTGTACATCATGCCAGTTTTCAATGCGATCTCTCCTTGATCACAAAAAACTATGCAGGCAAAACATGGTTGAAGTTGAAAACACATGCCAAGATTGTAATTCTGCTTGTGGGCCTCCCACAAATGCTGTCACACCTTTGGTTCTTCAGCTCAACCAAATGATTGCACGAGGAGCTTGGAAGCAATAAACTCATCGTTGTTTTGTTAGAGCTTGTTTTGTTTTGGGTTTTGGAAAGGCTCTTATTGTCTTATTGAAAGGACTCTGAATTGAATTGATCTAGCATCGGTGTCCTTTAGCTTCGAGTTTGTATTGTATGCTCTTGCAGCTCTATGACTTGTTTTCTATTTCATATCCAGTTTTGGTCTATCATGTTCTTCAAACTTCATAACATGCTTTTTTATTTTGCTATGCTTCTATCTTTTTCGATGCCGGTTGAATAGAAAACAATAGAAAATTGCCATGAATTGAGCACCGTGCTTGGAAAGGTGTGACGCATAAACAAATTGGCGTGTTTCCTCATGTTAAATGAATTCCAATGAGTTATCAAAAATATTTCATCCTCAATATTAGCACGATATTTTGAGTATATCTCGATGGACGGAAAGAGAGTGAAGAGTTATCCAGCAGTAAATTAATTTAGAAGTTGTTTGAAAACTACTTCGGGTAAAACTATTTCGAGATGATAAGTGACATGTGCTATATGCATGTGGTATACTGCTGCAGCACTGTTATTAGAATAATTTAGAAGTATTTTGAAAGCTACCTCGGGTAAAAAAATTTTGAGATGATATGTGACATGTTCTATATGCATGTGGTATACTGCTGCAGCACTGTTATTAAAATAATTTAGAAGTAGTTTGAAAGCTACCTCGGGTAAAACAATTTTGAGATGATACGTGACATGTTCTATATGCATGTGGTATACTGCTGCAGCACTGTTATTAAAAATAATTTAGAAGTAGTTTGAGAGCTACCTCGGGTAAAACAATGTTGAGATGATATGTGACATGTTCTGATATGCATGTGGTATACTGCTGCAGCACTGTTATTAGACTTAACACATCTGCGTCGCTAGAGCCAGGGCCTGTTCTTTGAATCAAGAGCCAGACCTGACCCATGGGGAGCTACGAGCCCGGCCGGTCAGTCGGTGGAGTGTCATTCAAAGGAAGACAATTCTCCTGTCTACCCGCTCCACTACAGATTTGGTCTTTGGGGCCTTGTGCGTGTTGTTTAACAGTGTTTTAATGATGACACGACAGTCACGACGCCTTTCTCGTCAAAGATTCTCAAAACTTACAAGCCACGATACCTCAGATCGAAGTCAAAGTCGAAGTCAACGAAAGAGGACACCCATCTTCCAAGCTTGTTGCTGTTAAGAAATGCGACCTTCTTCTCTAATCAATGGATCTAATCAGAGGGATGCCCAACAAAATGTCTCTGCGTCTGAGTTCCTGTCTGTATTCCTGCTGAGCTCATAAAACTTCGGGTCTTCATTCCGTTGCCATTCATGCTTATACTCTTATACCGGTCCAAAAGTCAAGGCTCGCGGGTGCAAGTTATTTTAGTCAATGAACAAATCCAAATTGTCAAAGACTCAATAACTCTTTGTTGACATATCATCCACTTGCTTGAGAAACAGCAAATTCTGGGCTCTCAGAAGAACATCTATTAATAATCCTTGAATCCCATCAGTCCAACCTCCAATCCCACCGTAACCTTGAAGGGTGGATTGGCACCGTGTCATTCGACTGTACTTGTAACATGTTTTCTCGCTGGTTTTTCTGCCAAGGTTTCCATGGGAGAGAACTGGCCGTCAGAAGCGTCTAGTTCTTTCTCTTATCAATCAACATGTACCGAGTCCGATAGAAATTTCTTCTCATCTAGCAGTAACGGCCAGCGTCTTTGTGCAGCAGAGTTCAAGGAATCAGACTTACATCATCTAGAAAGTCGAAGGTTACAATTGCATGCGTCAAAGATCCATCACATTGGAGAATGATTTTTTCATGATCATGGAACCGACTCCAGGTTCCATGGATCGTCATAGGCACTTTCGTTGTGGGAAGTTGGCTTTGGGTAAGTGTAAGTTGCTCGTTCCATTTTACGATTGATATTTTCCAGATTGTGACCAAAGTTACCAGAATGAGCAGATGAAACCTCGTATTGCGAAGTAATCAATTCTGCTTCAGATTGAGTTATGCTGTGAAGTTCCTTTTTCAGGGAAGCTGATGCTGTTCTTGCATTCAAGGACGGGATCGGGAACTTTCCGGAGGGAGCCTTGGATAATTGGATTCCTTGCAAGCGATCAGAGTACTCTTCGTGGACCAGAGTTACTTGCAATCGTCCGCTGCATGTTTCTGCTCTACACTTGTCTTTGCTGTATTTGATTGAATCGTTGGGCCCTTCGTTGTGCATTCTTCCGTACCTCCATGGAGGTCTTCGAGGTACGGAATATTGCACAACGAAGGGCCCATCTGGACCAAAACTTTCTGCAAAGCGAGCTTCCTCGTGATTTAGGACGGCTGTCGAGGTTAGGAATCCTGAACCTGGAAGACAATCTGGATCTCAGCTACAACTTCAAGTGGTAGTTTGCCTGCGGACGTTGGGAGGCTGTCAAGTGCGAAGTGCATTTTCATCCGAAACAATATGTTCGAAGGAGAGCTCCCTCAATCTTTAACAAACATCAGCTTGCTCACCTATCGGAAATTTCCGACAACAAGTTCAGTGATCCTTTGGATGCGTTGAGGAACTCAATAATCCTGCAAGTTCTGTTTCTAGGTAGATGAGATCTGGTCCAGAATTCATTCACGGGAAGCCTGACGGCTGAGATGGTGAGGTCGTGGCTGACAGTGCAGATTCTGGACCTCGGCTTCAATGCTACGATTCGGAAAGATCGCATAGCCCTAGATTTTATGACCCAACTCTGGTTATTGCGTTTTTCTGGAAACAACGTCGATGACCTGCAAAAGTTGTAATGGTTGTAATTGAATGACAACCAGCTCACGGGAAAGATTTCCGTTAGATTGGTAGACATGCAGGATGTCACAGATCTAACAGGCTCCATACTCCAGCAGTTCAGCAACCTCATCAAGATCCAGGTCTTGTGATTGTATAGGATGAACCGAGTGGGAATCATTTCTCGGGGGTGCTGCCTAAGTTCTATGTCCTGAATCCTCAGCTTATAGCTCAATCCATTATGCTATTCCATTCTTGTTGCAGATTCGTTCTATATGCGCATGTCGAGATCTATTTGAAGATTCCATAAACAAGACCTGTGAATCTTCTGCTTTCAGTTGCGGCGGTGATTTCGATCTTGGTCCCATCATTTAACGGGCAGAGTCGTGGAGTTCATATTTTCATGAAGGCGTTGGCAATAGGAGCTTCAGTTGGATTTGCACCTGTCATCGATCTCATCACTTTGATACTAGCCTTCAGAAACAGGTTACTATGTCCAGAACATACTGTCTCTATCACCAGCATTCTCAGATCTACGTATTGCAGACGAATTCATTCGATCACATCAATTTGGCTGACAGCGGGTGGATTTACGTAGAATCTTGTAAGATAGCCAGCTTGCGAGTGCAGATTACGAGCTTGTGCTACTAAGAGGGCAGTTTTTCTAGATAGTTTGAATCGGGTTGATAATATTTCAATAAACCTGATGAGATTTGTAACAGTTAATGGTGGAGGGTCTACATACCTCGCCTTAAGATCTAGTCATTGAATTTTAGGTTTACTTATTTATTTTTCGAAAAAAAATACACAAAGTAGGTCAAATTAGCTAGAATGACCATATGGTAAATGATAATATAGGTCTATAACTTCCCCGGATCCGGTAGAATTTCACGAGTTAGATCGGTACTCTAGAAATCTTATATAGGTCAGTTCCTTGAACTCTGCTGCACAAAGACGTTCAAAGGAAATATTCTGGCCGTTAGTGCTGGATGAGATGAAATTTCTCTCGCACTCCACAGATGTTGACTGATGCAAGAGAGAACTGGAGGCTTCTTACGGCTACTTCTCTGTTATGGAAACCCTGGCAGAGAAACTAGCGAGAAAACATGCTAGAAGTAGAATGGAATGACCCGGTGCCATCGTGGCATCAAGGTGGGAGAGGAGGCTGGACTGATGGGATGAATACAATTTTGGCATTAATACATGATGCTCCAGAGCCCAGCATTTTCTGTTTCTCAAGCAAGTGAATGATATTTCAACAAAGAGTTGATGAGACTTTTACCATTTAAATGTGTTCATTGACTAAAGTAACATGCACCCGCGAGCCTTTGGACCTTTGGACCGGTCTAGGATTTTAAGCATGAAAGGCAACGTAATGAAGACCCAAAGTTTTATGAGCTCAGCAGGAATTCAGAATGCCGGCGTAGAGACGTTTTGGTCGAGATGCCCAATACCTCTGATTAGATCCATTGATTAGAGAAGAAGATCGCATTTCGTAACATCAAAAAGCTTGGAAGAAGGCTGTTTTCTTTCGTTCACTTTGAATTTCACATCGATCTGAGGTATAATGCCGTGTAAGTTTTGAAAAATTGTGCCGAGAAGAGCGTCGTGACTGTCGTATCATGATTAAACTCTCGCAATACGCACAGGGTCCAAAGGACCAAATATGTAGTGCAGCGGGTAGACAGGAGAATTGTCTTGCAGACACCTCACCGACCGGCTGGGCTCGTAGCTCCCCATGGGTCTGGTCTGGCTCTGGAAAGAACAGGGCCTGGTTCGAGCGACGTAGATGTGCTACATCTAATAACATTGCTGCAGCAGAATAGCACATGCATTTATAGCATGTCACTGATCATCTCAAAACTGTTTTATCCGTCAAGCATACGTCCAACTTCACACTTGGAATTCCAGTATTACGGAAGTGATGTGTAAATAATTATCCCATGTTCATTATGATAACTATATTCAACAACAACTTTCAAACTATTTCAATATAATACTAAATAATTTACATGTAGTTTGAATCTGTTAAATCTCTTTCTTCTCATCCAGATATAATATATATATATTGTCTGTGTACAATCGCTCATGATGCTAATAATGAAGATGAAATATTTAAGATCCCCCATTTGAATTCATTGAAATGATGTTACACGCCAGTTTCTTTATGTCTCACGTCTTTCCAAGGACGGTGCTTAAATCATCGTTATTTTGTATTATTGTTCTTTCAAGCCGGTATCAGAATCGCTGGAAGCACAGCAGAATAGAAAAACATGTCATGGAGTTTGAATAACATCAGAGGCCAAAAGTGGATATTGTTATAAAAACAAGTCATGTAGCTGCAAGAATATACAATTCAAACACAGAACTCAAGACATCGAGTTCAAATGAGAGTCCTTTCGATAAGACAATGAGAGCCAATTCAAAGCCCAAACAAAACAGGCCTCAACAAAACAGCGATGAGTTGAGTGCTTCCAAGCACCTTTTGGCATCCTTTGGTTGAGCTGAAGAGCCAAACGTGTGACAGCATTTGTCGGAGGGCCACAACCAGAATTACACTCTTGGCTTATCTTTTCAATTTCATCCATGTTTTGCTTGAATAGTTGTTATAAGGAAATATTGCATTGAAAACTTGCACGTTGTACACGTGTTGTTAACTGTAGTATTAAACGAAAAAAGATTGTGGAAGCAAAAGTTTAATTACTTAGTCCATGATACAATCCTGAATAATATAGACTTAGAGTCACTGTCACATTTTTCTGGGCATGCTCTCAAAAATATTGGTGCGAAGTTTAGTCGAATCAGTAAATTATGTATTATGTAGATAAAAAAGACAGCAGTGAAAAGGAAAATTATTCAGATTCCAAAGGAGTTGAATTCCTATAAATTATTGTTTTAGATTATTAGGTATGTTCAGTAACAAGGAAAAGTCTCTCAAGTGGTGAAGTTATCAGACTTAAAGCAATTGAATACGTAGTGGAATTCCTATTTTTGACTTAAAAATCACCTAAGAAAATGAGATGAAATGTATGTATGCACATCACATAAATTCCAAGTTCATTCATTGGGCTGAATTTGCTATTTAATAGTGTACAAATAGACAAATTGTGAGACAAGCCTGAAATTATGAAAGTGGAAGAGTTTAACTTGAAAGAAAGATGGAATCTTCTCTCGAGAAATTAGTATAGATTGAATTGCAAAATCACTACAAATATTTCCCTATTCTTAAGTATAAAAATTATCAATTGTTCGGATAATAAATACGAAAGAACATTTTTAGTGAGTTTTTCTATTCCAAAAGTATTATACTTGTAGGTATGAGAGAATAAGTCTAATACAGAAACATTTTCAGAAAACTATATTCAATTTTAAATGTGTGAACTCTTTGATTTGTGATGAAGAAAATTATTGCATTGAAAACATACATTGAAGGAATTAGAAAATTCATCAAAGAAAAAATTATCATGAAATGTGCGATTCCATATATTTATATCTTCAATAGAAGTTTCGTCTGCGGTTGGACACAGATGATATTTTTTGTATATAATGATGAGGAGAAAGAGATTTAAGAGAAATCCAGCAGTAAAATAAATATATAAGTAGTTTGGATACCCCTTCTGGGTATAGTTATCCTGTTCTAGATGAGATAATAACTTGAAGATAAATATCGTAAGAATGGAGTCCCAAATTCCATTTCCGGAATTCCAACTATACTTGACGGTTAAAGCTCTTCTGCTTTGCCATTGACACTTATTTTTTATACCTACTCACCCCTCTAAGTTAGGACGGTAGAAAGCCTTACTTGCATAGCAGGTACTCGTAGAGACAATGTCTGGAAAGAGTTTACGATAGTAGTAGATTTTAGTCCTGACGTGAGATGATATGCTGTATATGCATGTGCTATACTGCTGAACCACTGTTCAAAGACGTAGCACATCTACGTCGTTAGAACCAGGCCCTGTTCTTTGAATTAAGAGCCAGACCTGGCCTATGGGGAGCTACGAGCCCGGCCGGTCAGTCGGTGGAGTGTCAATCACAGGAAGACAATTCTCCCGTCTACCAGCTGCTCTACTAATTTGGTCCTTCGGGCCCTGTGCGTGTTGTGAAAGGGTAAACGTTTAACAGTGTTTCAATAATGATTAAGTCAATAGTAACGACGCTTTTCTCGGCACAAATTTTCAAAACTTGCAACCCACGATACTTCAGATTGAAAAGCTCCCAGAAAGTCAACGAAAGAGGACAGCCATCTGCAAGCTTTTTGCTGTTACGAAATGCGAACTTCTTCTCTAATCAATCCCGACCGAAACGTCTCTGTGCTGGCAGTCTATTCCTGCTGAGCTCATAAAACTTAGGGTCTTCATTACATTTCCATTCATGCTTATAGTCTTAGACCTGTCTAAAAGTCAAAAGGCTCGCCGGTGCATGTTATTTTAGTCAATGAACAGATCGAAATGGTAAAAGGCTCATTAACTCTTTGTTGACATTTCATCCACTTGCTTGAGGAACAGCAAACGCTGGGCTCTGGGAGCAACATCTATAAATGTCAGACTTGAATCCCATCAGTCCAACCTTCCAATCCCACTGTAACCTTGATCCTGGCATCAAGGTTACCTTGATGCCAGGATGGCACCGGGTCATTCCATTGTACTTCTAGCATGTTTTCTTGTTGCCTCCCCTGCCACGGTTTCCATCGGAGAGTTCTGGCCGTCAGAAGCTTCTCGTTCTCTCATGTATCAGTCAACATCCGCCGAGTCTGATAGAAATTTCATCCCATCTAACAGTTATTGCCATAGTCTCTCCTATGAGCGTCTTTGTGCAGCAGAGTTCAAGAATACGGACCTCGATGATCTAGAAAATCGAGGATTACAGTTGCATGCGTCAAAGATCCATCACATTCAAGAGAGATACAATCCCTCTCGACTGTGATGGATCTTTGACGCATGATGATCTTGAAACCGACTCCAGGTCCCATGCTGTCTCACACGCAGTTTCGTTGGTGGAAGTTAGCTTTGGGTAAGTAAAAGAAGCTCGATCCGTTTTACGATTGATGTATTCTAGATTGTGACCAAACTTACCAGAATGAGCAGATGGAACTTCTTATTAAAAAATAATTAATATTTCTTAAGATTTAGTTATGGTGTGAAGTTACTTTTTGAGGGAGCTGATGCCCTTTTTCTATTCAAGGACTGGATCGGGGACTATTCGGAGGTGCCTTGGATGATTCGACTCCTGACAAACGATTAGAGTACTGTTCGTGGACCAGAGGCACCTGCAATCGTCAGCTGCATGTTACTGTTCTCCACTTTTCTTCGCTTTATTTGACTGGCTCGCTGGGTCCTTCGTTGTGCAATCTTCCTTACCTCAAAGAGCTCCATCTGGACCAAAATTCGACCGCTCTCGAGATAACGAGTCCTGAACCTGGAAGACAATCTGCTCTACGGAAATATTCGTGAAGAACTGGACAATCTTACAAGCCTTCGGTACTGCGGTTCAGGACTCGTTACCAGTTTTGGTCCAGATAGAGCTCTTCAAGGTTCGGAAGTTTAGGGTTTAGTTCAAGAGTTTTGGGGGGCAACTTTTTCACCGCAAACCTGGTCCATGTCAGGTCCACAACATGGTCTGAATTATCATGGTTCTTTGCAAATGGGAACTCATTTACTGGAACATTTCCTTGGGTCTTTCTCTATTGTCGCACCTTGGTGACGTTGGATCTCAGCAACAACAACTTCAGTGGTAATCTACCTGCGGTCCTTGGGAGGCTGTCAAGTGCGAAGGACATCTTCATCCGCAACAATATGTTTGAAGGAGAGCTCCCTGAATAATTTACAAACATCAGCATGCTCTGTTGATTTGCAGGTCCTGCTGCAACCTGATCACACCTGCTGATCACACAGAACACAGACAAACTGATCACACCTGCTGATCACACAGAACACAGACAAACTGTAGTGCTGTAACCTGTACAACAGGGGAGAGAACTAAACACAAGAGCCACAGAGCTCACGCGAGAACTCACTCAGAACTGAGCAAACTGATGTAGTGGAAAAATGACTTACATCCTTTTCGTATAAAGAGGGGTTTATATACAACTTACACTAACGTGAGAGTTTGACACGTACATACTAGTCATAAAGAGCACGTAGTAACCATGCCCTACTTTTTGAACTTACTATTGAACTTACTATCGTAACATGAACTCCACGCAGGAGTTAAAACTACCTAACTTCACCTGACTATAACGTGAGAGTTTGACACGTACATACTAGTCATAAAGAGCACGTAGTAACCATGCCCTACTTTTTGAACTTACTATTGAACTTACTATCGTAACATGAACTCCATGCAGGAGTTAAAACTACCTAACTTCACCTGACTATAACACGCGTGTACAGGAAGCAAGCAGTATGCTAAAGATAGTTACCACCTGCAGATACAAATAGATTATACTTAAAACTTAGAAGACAACAAAGATTATCTATCATGCTCATCTATCTGAACCTTTCCGATAGCAAGTTCAATGGTCCTTTGGATGCTTTGAGGAACTCTGTAATAACCCACCAAAGGCTGAAATTGCAGTTGTGGTAACCCACTTTTGGTATTTATGCGGAATTTAAAACATTTTTGGAAAACTGTACCGCAACAGCAGTGTAAATAGCGATCGGTACATTTAAATAGAGTGAAACTGGATGATCTCGGAGAATCTCGTAGAATCTCGTAGAACCCAGGATTTGGGCGCAATGTTCAGAACCGGCGCCGCCCTGAACGATGGGCTTTGAAGGAGTTCCCCTTCGGCGCAAGGCGCATAATCCGTCTTCGGCACTACGCCTTTGGCGCTAGAGGAATGCCTCAGAATCTATGCAATTCCCGAACGCCTTGAATTTGTTAGGGTCTCGTGGGAAAGAGCTTGGCGCGCTGGTTCTAACGAGCCCAAGAACGCCTGGAACGGATCAGGACTCAGGGAGTTGTGACGGTCGGAAGATACGAAGGCTTTCGCCTACGCATAGGCGAGGGAAGTTCGCATAGGCGAAATGGGTTTGACGTCGGCGGGGAGTCCGCCGAGAATGCCGCCTACGCATAGGCGGGGAGGACTTGTACCTACGCATAGGCGGACGGAGATCGCCTACGCATAGGCGCTTCGCCCTCGGCGAGAAATCCGCCTTCGGCCCTAGAATCCGCCTTCGGGGTTGGAACTTGTACGGCGCCTTCGGCGCCAGCGCATCATGGTTAGGTGAGGACCCAACGGAGTAGCGAAATCCGTACGGACGGAACGGACGAGTGCGCCTTTGGCCGGTTGGGATTTCGGAGACAAGAGCGCCGACGGAGAGGCGAGAGAGATGGACAGACTGGACGGAGTCCTGTGGTAACCCACTTTTTGTTTTTCGTCGGAACTAAAACATTTTTGAATAGTAAGTACCGCGGCAGCAGCTGTAAATAGTAATCGGTACACGAAACCAGAGTAAAAAGAGTATAGAGGACAGTCAAGGGGTTTTGGGCTTAGGCCACAGTGGGACGCTTGGGACGGAACGGGCGGTTCATGCTGCAGGATCCGCTTCAAGCACCTTCGGCGGTAGATCACTCATAACTTTCTCAATTCGTAACGCTTTGAGTTGCTTTGGGTCTTGTTGGAAAGAACTCGACGCGCTGGTTCTAACGAGCCCAAGGACTTGTGAAACGGATGAGAGGTCACTGAGTTATGAGTGTCGGAAGTTACTGATGGGGGGCCTTCGGCGGAAGAACCGCCGGAAGATGCGCCTTCGGCAGTAGACGCCTTCGGGTCAACGCCTTCGGCGATGCGGGAGAGTGCATTCGGCGGAAGAGTGAATCCCTCATAAATTTCTCAATTTCTCTTTATTAGGATCTCGTTGGAAAGAGCTCGACGCGCTGATTCTAACGAGCCCAAGAACGCCACGAACGGATGAGGACTCCGGGAGTTATGAAGGTCACAAGATACTCAGCTTCTCGCCTACGAGTAGGCGAGGAAAGTTTGTCCTATGCGCGGACGAGAGAAGTCCGCCTACGCGTAGGCGCTTCGGCGTCGGCGGAAAATCCGCCTTCGGCCCTAGAAATGCGCCTTCGGGGTTGGAAATTGTACGGTGCCTTCGGCGCCAGCGCAGCAGCGCGGACGGACGCGGACGCCTGCGAGTAGGCGGCTTGCGACGCGGACGCGAACGCCTGCGAGTGCATAGGCAAACGCCTTCGGCGGAAGAGTAAAACCGTAATAACTTTCTCAATTCTTAACGGTTTGACTTGGTTAGGGTCTCGTTGGAAAGAACTCGACACGCTTGTTCCAACGAGCCCAAAAACGTTTCGAACGAAGCAGGGGTCTGTGAGTTATGAGCGACGGGGGTGACTGTTATAGATAAGAGACTCCATGCGGACGGGAGACTGCCTGCGCATAGGCGAGACTCACCTCCGGTGCAGCGCAGGAAAGGAAAGGAGCCGGCGGAAGATCCGCCTTCGGCTCAAGGGACTTCGGTGCCACGTGGCACAAGATTCCCGATGGCGGAAGTTGGCGGGATTATGTCAAGTGTGGGACGCAGAACGGCGGGGCCCATATCTTGGCAATGGACGGTCGGATGGATCTGAAATTTTGTGGGGCCGTTGATCTTAGCCGGCCACGCATGCGTGCAAATTTTCAGCCTCAAATCTTGGATGGAAAGGCGCTCGCGGCTCTGTACAGTAGGTTTAGGATTCAGATTTAGGGTTAGGGTCAGATTTAGGTTGTAAGTTAAAGGGGAAGGCATCCGCCGACTCCTCAGGTGTAGGATCTGTTGCGGCTCGCACCATGGCATTGCAGTGTAGTGTAAGTAAGGACTTAGAAGGTATAAAGTAGTTCAAGGCGTCTTGCCTTGTGATCTTTCCCAACATCAGAAGTGTAGATCAGGAACTCATTTTCTTTGCGTGTTTGTGTCCTTAGTTTTGTCACCACGCACGAGGAGCTACACCTTAGCAATCCGCATTGTGTAGCTGAAGGCCTTCGGCCGAATGTTCAGAGCTAGTACATTGGTTAGAGACTTGAGTAGTTCGGATCTACACCTGCGGGTGATTGCCAATGCTCAGAGCAAGTGACTAGTTAGATACTTGAAAAGTTTCGCCCCTACACCTTCGAGTGTTTGATCCTAATTGTACTCCTTCGGGATTTTTCCCCTGAATGCCAAAGTGAAGTTTTGCTACTTTGTGTAAGCCTTGGTTGTAAATTCAGGTTACGCTGCAGCAGGTGCCTGTGAGGTAACCCCTGTAGTATTTCTGGGAATGACAAGTGCCTAAGAATTCAAACTCTTCAATAGACTGTTATGGTGTGTTACTGGAATGTTTCTTAGTGAGTCCTTTTGTGCGGACCTGTGTTCTCTGCGCGTTTTGTGAGTTGAGAGTGTTGTTCACCGCGTATGAGTGACTTTGATCCGAAGTAGGCAGTCCAAACCGGGTTTCCTACGCTAGCAGCAAGCTAGTGGAAGTGTTGTAAAAGCCGGAGTTGGGAGTCACTACCCGCAGCTTCGCTGAGTGTACTCTTGAGAGACCTTCCCCCTGAAATCTTGAGTAGAGGTCCTAACGGATCTCTGGGTTGTGTTTCTATAGTTTCAGGTGTGTGTGTGTGTGTGTGTGTGTTACGCTGCACTGTGCGACCTCCGAGTGCGCTCCGAGTGAACACCTGCAGTATTTCTGGGAGTGACAGTCGCCTGAGAATTCAAACTCCTCAATAGTCTGTTAAACGTGACACTTTGTACCCTGTGTGTTCCTCTGTCCTTGTGGGTTCGACCTTTCTACCACTATATTGCAGTTTTAGCCTTTAGTGGGTTATTACAAGTCCGTTGACCGCGGTCAACGCCTTCGGCACATGCGCCTTCGGCGCTGCGCCTACGGCGAGGGATTGCGCGGACGAGCGTTTTGTGTGTAGACGGATTTCGCCTACGCATAGGTGAGCGCCTACGCACAGGCGGATGGA